ACGGTCGTCAGGGCATCCCCCGGGGAATATTTCCCCAGCCCCAGCAGGGAACAGTAGTTCCTGCACTTGGCATTGCGTGCCGAGGCGAACAGGTCTAGGCGGGGATAACCCCACCTGCGGAAAACCTGGCGGAGAGCAGAATCCTTGAGTGTCCACTCGTGGGCTCCAAAGGATCTGCTCAGTGTGTCTGCTAGCAGGTTTTTGCACCCCGGGAGGTATTCCGCTTGAGGTGTGATATCATGCGTGACGCACAAGTGCCAAAGTTGCAGGGCCTCTTTGCAGAGGCGAGGCGATCACACCCCACCCTGCTTGTTGAGATAAAAGACCGCTGCTGTGTTGTCCATATGAACCAGGATCAAACGGTGGGAGAGCCGTGGCAGGAAGGCTTCGCAGGCTCTCCTCACCGCCCGCAATTCCCGGACGTTTATGTGTAGGGCTTGCTCGGAGGGGGACCAGAGGCCTTGAGTCCTGTGCCGCCCAGCTCAGGTCGGACACATCGGTGACCAGCGTCAGGGAGGGGGGAGGAGCTTTGAAAGGAACCCCACTGCGTACCACAGTTTCCTGGGTCCACAATAGGAGGGAGTCCAGAATTTCAGGGGGCGCCATAATTATTGAGTCCCAAAGACCCCTGGATTGGCTGAAGGCCCTCTCCAACCACGCCTGCAGGGGTCTCATCCTCATTCTGGCATGGCGGACCATGTACGTACATGCTGCCATATGGCCCAGGAGCCTGGAGCAGAACCGAGGGGTCATGATAGGGGACCGAGTTAACTCCGAGATCAGCTCCACTATGGAGAGGAACCTGCTCTTGGGCAGGAACGCCCTTGCCACCCTCGCATCGAGGAGGGCTCCCACGAATTCTATCTGCTGGGAGGGAGTCCGGGATGACTTTTCGACATTTATCATGAGTCCTAACCTTAGGAAAAGGGCTTTTTTGAGTGCCACGTGAGCTTCGGGCTCTAGTGAGTGCCACGTGAGCTTCTACCTGGTCGTATGAGCGACCTCGGATCAGCCAATCGTCGAGGTACAGGAACATGTGCACCCCCTGTTTGTGGAGATATGTGGCAACCATCGCCATACATTTCGTGAACACCCTCGGTGCCGTACATAAACCAAAAGGGAGCACCGTAAACTGAAAATGGTATTGGCCCACCATAAACCTGAGGAACCTCCTGTGGCTGGGCCTGATCGCCACGTGGAAGTACGCATCCTTGAGGTCAAGAGTCACGTACCAGTCCCCTAATTGTAGCACTGGGATGACCGATGCCAATGTCACCATTCTGAACCTGTGTTTTATGACCGCCTTGTTTAAATTTCGGAGGTCCAAGATGGGGCGGACTCCTCCCTTTGGTTTGGGGACAACAAAATAACAGGAGTAAAAACCCTTTCCTCGCAGATGTGGAGGAACCTCCTCTATTGCTCCTTTTTCGAGGAGCGCAGACACCTCCTCGCACAGGATGTGTTCATGAGGGGTGTCCCTTACTAAGTACGGATAAGGGGGTTTTGAGGGCGGTGGGCCTAGGAATGGGATAGAATAGCCTCCATTTACTATTCTACAGGCGGGGAGCTGGCAAGGAGCTTGTCTGCAGCGAAGTTCGTGCATGGCTGGAAGCTACCTGAGACTGATGGCTCGGCATCAAAAAGGGTGCCGAAGTAGCAATCGGTACTGACCCCACATGGGGTGGTCCCGACGCATAAGCCACCTTAGCATGCCGACCTGGGCCATGCTGGGGCGAAGCCGTAGCCAGCTGAACCTCCGACGATGGTGACCTCGACCCTTCCGAGTCAACCGAGGATGGAGGGGAGGTCGTGAGGCTAATAAGGTCCTGCGCCGCTTCAAATGTGTCCGGCGTGGACGGGCGGTCTGGAGGCAGGCGACCAGGACTATCAAGGCCTCCTCGACGCTGACGGTGCGGTGGAGGAGATACGCGCACTGGTGAGCCCACGCCGCGGTGCCCAGCCAAAGTTGTCTTCTTCGAAGGGGACCTTCCCCGGGACTTCTTCACCCTCTTGGATGGAGGAGAGTGAGACCGGTGCCGAGACCTCGACGCCAACGCACGGTGCTGGTGAGGAGCCTCCCGCATGGAAGCCAGTGCACTGCGCACCGCAGGCTGCTCCGGCGGCACCGGTTGAAGCGCTGTCTCCATGAGGAGAACCTTCAAGTGGGAAACACTTTCTTTTCTGGTACGGGGCTTAAAGGACTTGCAGATCTTATAGGCAATAGCCAGATGAGCCTCACCCAAGCACTTAAGACAACTGTCGTGTGGGTCGCCCCTGGGCATAAACTTCCCGCAGTCAGCGCACGTCTTGAAGCCTTGCGGCCCTGGCATTCCTTACCCCCAAGGGGGAAGGAACAAAACAAAGAACCTAACTATCTAACTACAAGAGCTATTTACAAACCAATGTGAGAACAGGGAACCATTAACTAACTAGGAGACTAAGAGAGATAGAGACGCTCCAACGACCGTCACTGTGGTAAGAAGGAACTGAGGTGGGGCAGCGCCAGCAGGGGTACTTATGCCCCGCCATGGCGGCGCCACTCCAGGGGGCGCCCTGTCGGCACTACAGGTACCGCTAGGGAAAACACTCCAAAAGACGCGGTGCACATGGTGCGCACACCTACTTCGAATGGACATGAGCAACCTCTCGAAGAAGAACTGTCTCTCTCCTTCCTGTAGGTAAGGACTCTCAAATATCCTCCCACACCAGGGTCCCCCCACATCTTCCTTTGCAGGGATTCTGCTTGCCAACTTTTCATCTCCCCACCTTGCTACTCATTCCCTCTCTTCCCCGATACCAGGGTCTGATATTCTCCCCCAGGTGGCAGGAGTTCTGGGTGAACATCCATATTCCCCACACCATTATTATCTGTCTGTGTGATAGGTCATTTGCATGTTAATCTCTGCTGGCAGAGTGAGCACGAGTATTGTGATGCTAGAATCAACTACAGAGGTACTTGAAGCTGTGTCTGTGCTAGAAAGATGGCATCACCCTCACTTCCTTTCAGTATTCTGATTTTCTCCCTTCTCTTCCCCAAAAATAACAATAGGTTCTGGCAATTAGTGCTTAGAAAGGTCCCTAAAACTTTGAAATTGATTAAATGCAGTGTTCAAAGGTTTCCACATTACATACAGAGAAATGTCATTAAGTTGCATGTAAAGCTTTTGCAAACTCTGCTAATGAAAATACATAATTATATGGATTATATTTAAACATCTTATAGTGTGTAATGTCATGTGCAATACACATGGATGAGTAAGTATTTGGAAAATTTTATGCCACTTACATGGAAACTACAGTGAGGGGGTTGCACACTTCATACTTTTTGTTGCGTGAGCTTACTGTACACACCAGAGGCTCCTTGCATTCCTCCATTCCCTGAAAAGTTCCCTGCATGCCATCCTCCCGTTCTGCTCTATTTCAGGAACTCCTCCAAGCTACTCCCTTCCAGCAGCTCTGTGTATTCTCCATTTCCCTCTCCACCAATACCAGGGTTCCCATTATCCCTACCATTCCCTCTTCCCCTGCTCAAGTCAGAGGCTCTGTGGAGCCCCCTCTTATCAGCCCCCGCACCAATTCTTCCTTACCAGGTGTTCTGAAAAGTACAGCTTTTCAAAAACCAATCTTTTGATTTTGCTTACCTGTTAAAAAGCCTTGACCTGTCCATGTATTGTTAGCAAAATCCATGGTCGTCAATGACCTTTTATGAGGGGTGTCTGACTGTAAAAAAGGGGAAAATGTATTTGTTCATTATGAGTTGCTCAAAAACAGGACTTGATTGTGGCTTTCACACTACAATCTAACACAAAGAGCAGTGGTGGAGCTGCACAGCTCCCGAAGGAGTACAAGACAAATTACACCTCCACAGGCATCTTTCTATACATGGAGATGGTGCAATCTGCTTCATTCATTAGGATCTCTCTTCCCAGCACAATAACTCTGTCAGACCCGGGCAGATGGGCTGCAGGAATGTGGTCCCACCCTTTTTTAGACATGCACTCTCTCAAGGGAATAGGAATAAATAGTCCCTGTGTTCCTGACATCACAAGGTCTGCTACTATGAGAGGCTGTTTTGCTTTTATACAAAGGTGGTGGTAGTGCTGGCGAGGCAGGTTTTCTGTATCTCTCTCTGCCCCTGCTTTCCACAGTCTGGCCCAACATATCTAATCACACAAAAACCCACCCTGAATGTGTGAGTTGTGTTGGGTCTTGAAAACTGATCAATAATGACTGTTTGTTCTCTAAGTGGTCGTCGCTCCGTACTGTCAGGTACTGCACTTGACACTCTACTGTGAGGATGGCGCCCTCTATGCTGAAAGAGAGAAAGAAAATGGAGCATTGCTTAAGTTAAAAGGGGAAAAAAGCAAAGAGCTAACTCTTCACTAAGTTTTTACAGTTACTAGGTTGGGCATTTCAATTGGATTTCAAGGGTATAAAAACTAAGACAACATGTTTTACAGAGAGAGTACGAAAGGGATAAGTGTAATTGCAAGAGGTTCCAAATAATGCTAAGAATGATAGCTGTGTGTTAGTGGCATGTGTCTATGTCTCATATTCTACACAATTTGAGAAGATTAGGCTGGCCCTACTGTGCCAAGATGGCTCAGAGGGTCTGCCACATTCCAAGTCTTCTAACCAATGGGTTTTTAGTAAAAGGGATCAGGGGGACAGGACTTCCACCACCACTGTTTTCATGAGAAAGACTGACTGGCTAAGACGTCTAACTCCAGAAAAGAGTTTATAGATAATTTGAGCAGAGAAAAGTACCTCCCCTCCAGCACAGAGTTAGACATTAATATTCTTTGAGGGGCAGTGCTTAGGCCTTACTCCTCTCAACATTTCTACTGGCTAAGTTAGGCAGCACCCACTCAGTCTACTGGTTTCTGCAAATCTACATAAGAACATACATAAGAACGGCCGTACTGGGTCAGACCAAAGGTCCTTCTAGCCCACTATCCTGTCTGCCGACAGTGGCCAGCACCAGGTGCCCCAGAGAGGGTGGACTGAAGACAATGATCAAGCAATTTGTCTCCTGCCATCTCTCTCCAGCCTCTGACAAACAGAGGCCAATGACACCATTTTATCCCCTGGCTAATAGCCTTTTATGGACCTAAACTCCATGAAATTATCTAGATTCTCTTTAAACTCTATTATAGTCCTAGCCTTCACAGCCTCCTCTGGCAAGGAGTTCCACAGGTTGACTACATGCTGTGTGAAGAAGAACTTTCTTTTATTAGTTTTAAACCTGCTACCCATTAATTTCATTTGGTGTCCTCTAGTTCTTCTATTTAGGGAACTAATAAATAACTTTTCCTTTATCGGCCCTCTCCACACCAATCATGATTTTATAGACCTCTATCATATCCCCCCTCAGTCTCCTCTTTTCTAAACTGAAAAGTCCCAGTCGCTTTAACCTCTTCTCATATGGGACCCGTTCCAAACCCCTAATCATTTTAGTTGCCCTTTTCTGAACCCTTTCTAAGGCCAAAATATCTTTTTTGAGGTGAGGAGACCACATCTGTACACAGTATTCAAGATGTGGGCGTACCATAGTTTTATACAGGGGCAGTAAAATATTCTGGGTCTTATTTTCAATCCCTTTCCTAATAATTCCTAGCATCCTATTTGCCTTTTTGACCGCCGCTGCACACTGCATGGAAGTTTTCAGAGAACTGTCCACGATAACTCCAAGATCTCTTTCCTGATTTGTCGTAGCCAAATTTGCCCCCATCATACTGTACCTATAGTTGGGGTTATTTTTCCCGATGTGCATTACTTTACACTTATCCACATTAAATTTCATTTTCCATTTTGTTGCCCAATCACTCAGTTTGGCGAGATCTTGGAGTCCCTCACAGTCTGCTTCTGTCTTGACTATCCTAAACAGTGTGGTATCATCTGCAAACTTAACCACCTCACTGTTTACCCCTTTCTCCAGATCATTTATGAATAAGTTAAATAGGATTGGTCCCAGGACTGACCCTTGGGGGACACCACTAGTTACCCCTCTCCAATCTGAAAATGTACCATTTATTCCTACCCTTTGTTTCCTGTCTTTTAACCAGTTCTCAATCCAAGAAAGGACCTTCCCTCTTATCCCATGGCCATGTAATTTACACAAGAGCCTTTGGTGAGGGACCTTGTCAAAGGCTTTCTGAAAATCCAAGTATACTATATCTACTGGATCCCCCTTAGCCGCATGTTTGTTAACACCTTCAAAGAACGCTAACAGATTAGTAAGACAGGATTTCCCTTTACAGAAACCATGTTGACTTTTGTCCAACAAATTATGTTCTTCTACATGCTTCACAATTTTATTCTTTACTATTGTTTCGACTAATTTGCCCAATACTGAAGTTAGACTCACTGGTCTGTAATTGCCAGGATCGCCTCTAGAGCCCCTTTTAAATATTGGTGTCACGTTGGCTATCTTCCAGCCATTAGGTACGGAAGTCGATTTAAAGGATAGTTACAAACTACAGGTAATAGCTCAGCAATTTCCCATTTGAGTTCTTTTAGAACCCTTAGATGAATGCCATCCGGTCC